TTTCGGATTTAGCAATATGAGGAAAATTTTCTGTATCTCTTCATTTCATATTTTGTAAAATTATTAATCGGAAATATCTTGCGTATACGTTTTATTTATAATATAAATGGAATAATTTTTTTTTACAGAAACCCTCGGGCTTGGTATGTTCTCCAAAAATTCATTTATTAAATATTAGATATTGAAAAAATCAAGAATAATTTTTATAATATATCGTTTTTAATGGATCAAAGTTTCAGATGAATTCTACATTTTAAGATTTATGAAGTTCTAATGGCCAATAAAGATAAACTACGCCAGCGCATCTTTTGTACTCGCAACTATCTCGGGATCTTTGAAAGAGTGCGATAATTCATAATCCGATGCATCCAAGCGTGTATTGAATCAAGTGGGCGATAATTCGAACATTTGTTTATAATTAAAATTTGAAATTAAATACTATTAAATGTTAATAAATATTACTTTATTTTCCTTTATTAATAAACATCTTGAGCTGTATCTCAGTTTCCAAAGCATACAACAAATCTTGAAGTTAGTAAAAAAAAAGTATTTAAGAAAATATTTCGAATACTATAGACTTTATTAAAATTTCGTAGCTATATCAAATTGAGATGTTAATTTTTAATTATATATTTTAACGATGAGGAAAATATGTATGTGTCCCAGTGGCGATTTATTGACAATACTTGATAAATGTGAAAATTTATATAATAAGTCATTGAAGAAGCAATCCCAAAGCATCTATTTACTCGAAAGACAGTAATTCTGATTTAAATAATACGATTATTATTTTGTTTTCTAGAAACAGCAATGCTGTTTTTTATAATTTTGAATTTATACTATTTTTGAATTAATCGACTTTTTATAATATATAATATGTTTTACGTGTACGTGGTTACTTAACGTATTTCATTTTACAAAGTAATAAAGTATAAAGATATTTTTGCTATTCACGTACGCGTGTATTGCTACATATATGTGAAATTGTAACGTACCAAAAAATAATATTTATGCATTCTGTGTAGTATACCTACACAGAATGCATAAATATTATTTTTTGGTACGTTACAATTTCGAAA